ATACTCACCCGCTTGTCGCCAGCTCGTTGCTCGCTACTCGTCGCGAGCTCATCGTCAGCTTGCCACCAGCCACTTGCCGCCAGCTCGCCACCTTCCTGCCAGTTCACGCACTCACCCCCTTGTCGCCAGCCCGCCGCTTGCTGCTCCCCACCAGCTCGCCGCCTGCTTACAAGCTCGCCCATTCGCTTGACCGCCGCCAGCTTTGTCACCAGCCCACCGCTCGCTGCTCTCCACCAGCTCCTCACCAGCTCGCCGCCTACTTGCCATCCCGCTAGCTCTCCCGTTCATTTGCTCGTTGCTAGGTCGTCACTCACTACCTGCAGCCAGCTCACCACCTGCTTGCCAGCTAGCCCGCTAGCGCGCCAGCTGCCAGCCTGTCGCCAGAGCGCTCGCCACCACCCTGTCACCAGCGCGCCACCCGCCAGCTCGCCGCTTCGCCCGCTTGCCAGCCCACTGCTCCGCCCACTTGCTAGCCTGCCAGCTCACTCGCCCGCTCGCCATCAGCTCGCCAACTCGCTCGCTCGCCAGCTCTCTGTTAACCAGCCTAATCGTCTCCTCCCCACCCTGATCCCTCTACTCTCGTTCGCCACCGCCGCTGCTGACATCAGCCGCTGCACGTGTCGCACCAGTCAGCCGCTACAGCTGCTGGCCACATCCACCGCTGTTGCTGCTCCTGTCCTCCGCCGCCGATGCCAATGTCAGCCACTGCGCCAACCAGCTGCCGCTGCCTCTGCTCAAGTCCCCTGCTGCCACCACTGCTGACATCCGCTGCCGCCGCCGCTACTCCAGTCCCTTCCTGCTGCCGTTGCCAGCTCAGCCACCGCCACCGACATCAGCTACTGCCACTCCTATACCAGTCAGCCAGTGCCCCTGCTTCCTCAAGCCGCCATCGCAAAAAGTGCAGCGTTTGCGGATCGTTGACGCCATTCAAAGTCGGCTGCAAAGTCGGAAATAGGCCCAATAGTTCTTTTCCTGCTTCATTTAACATAAATGGTTTGTGAGTCTTCCGCGAATGAGTTTTTCGCGAATGAGTTTTTCGCGAATGAGTTGTTTTGTAAATGTTACACCTTGATAACAATCTTGTTTTGATGGCTTATATTTCCATAGATAACCGGTTTGGGTACACTAAAACTTGTACAAATTTCATAACACCGAACAGGAGAAGCTGAAATGTTAAAATAGACAATTTTTGCGTTTATGATATTTTTATGATAGTAAACATACTTCTATTCCTAATTTGGGCTATCCCTTTGAAGAAACAGCAAGTGCAGAGTAAGGTATTGATCTTTTCAAGAGATGGTTTCATTTTGTTCCCTTCAAGATTCGAACTTGGGTCTTCCAGCTGTGCTACGTGCAAAAATAGGTACTCCAGAGGATTCTTCTTAGGGATAGAACTCGGTTCTTCACCTCCTTCAAGAAACTGTTACCAACTACGTTACGTGTATTGAAACAGGAAGACATCAAAGCATTAAAAAAAAAAAAAAAAAAAAAAACAGCGCACATTCGCTGCTGGTTACACCACCCAGTATCCAACTGCTAATAAGGACATAGTCCAGCAGAATCACCGTTCCGAATCCGGCTGGACGAAAGTTTGAAATACCAAACTGAACCAAATTTAATCGCAAATTACAGCGTATTCTAGCACGCGCGTAACCTGAAATCCAAAATTATTTGCTCAATATTTGTGTACATAGAAACATCCCCGATTCACAACATGAAGAGTATTTAGAAACACGCCCCAACCACACTCACACACACCCCTACCATACCTGCTCTTTGTTCCAACCAATCCCAACCCAATTTCCCCAACCAACTCAGCCCATGCACCTCGCCCAACCAATCGAAATCGGCCGAGCGATTCCAGCACGGCTAAATCCTGCTCAACCCCCTGCTCGCCCCAACCACCCAGCCCACCACGTTGCACACTTCACATGCCAGCAATCCAGGCCGGCACAGACTTCTGATCCTTCCTTATCTGCCCCCTAGCGCCCACTGATGTCTTTCAGCCAGACTTCTCTTACAGTATTATCCACCGGCAGTTCAATCTGTATCAGCTTCAGCTCCCCCTCTTGCCTTCGCACCCCCTTAGTGATTGGCTTCTTCGTCTGCCAGACTTTAACCAATTACTATCGTCGTTCTTGGTTTACCATAACATGAGTATGTCATTTCGCGATAGCTGTTATTTCTATCGTTTTAATCTCCTAATAAGTAGCTCGTAAGTGACTATTGTTGTTCACAATTGTCCTTATTGGCAGGTTCATGAGCTAATACGTCTTCAGGGGTTGAAGGCATTTGTTAACTGGAGTTTGTTAGAAAAAGACTGCAAATACCACTTTTGTATTTGTACTTTTATATCCTAGTTTAGGTTATGAATGTTCTAGTGGGTTGGGGTGTACTCACAAATCCCAACCTCACCCAATTGTGATCCCCCCAATCTCCAATTACCCAATTGGAGATTCCGGAGATCCCAATGGGGATTCCCTCGAATTCCCGCTTCATCCATTCACTCTCACCTTGCCATGTACTTATAGAGCCTTGGGCTCCTTTCCTAATCAATCATTTCAAATCTATTTCTTACATAGTATCAGAGCGACCTATCCGCACACGCGGATCAAGGTCCTAATCTGAACGTGCCCGCGCTACGCGCACTTCATCGTCGCGACATTCGTTTCGAGTCGTCGGAATTTCGACGTGCTCCACTCTGCAGTCGCGCCTCTCATCGTCGACCACCTTCGTGCTCGACCTCGTTGAATTTTTCATCTCTAAAGCGTTCACGCTTCTCGTCGTCGATTTCCTCCTCGGTTCTCCTTGGTCGAATCTCAATTTCGACCATTTCTTAAAACTCGTTCTCGAGTTTCCCCTCAGACCCCGCCAGAATAGGCGAACTCCCCTCGCGAAATCGCCTCCACGAACCTCTCGCGTCACGCAAGAGCAGGTACACAGATGGAAGCGGAGCGGAGCTGGTTGCGGAGCTGGTTGCGGAGCTGTGTAGCTGCGGGACAGAGCCTGGGGGTGTGTGGGGGGGTGTGTGGGTCCGGGGTTAGACATAGGTTCAGATTCAGTTTCAAGTCGGCGTTTTAACGAATTTTCGCCGACGCCATTTCCTACTTAGCGGCATTTTGATAAAGCCGTCAGAGTGATTTTCAGCAATTCTCGTCGACCAAATTCCAGAAGTGCCGCGCTGCACACCGACAATGGCTTACTCAACCACTTCACTCGCCAACCCGATCCCACTCCTTCGTCTCGAGCCGGACGGCACATGCTCCAACTACAAGGCTTGGCGCTATGGTGTCGACAAGCACCTCCTCAGTCGCGAGGTGAAGGGGCTCGAGCTCACCGACGTCCTTCTCAACATCGGTGACGGCAAAGAGCCTCCTAAACCCGAGAGGTCCGCCAATCCAGCTAATGCCGCCGCCGAAGCAGTTTATGCTGCTGCACTGCTCAAGTACAGGAATTGGGAGAAGGCCGATGGTGCGGTCATTAGTGTCTTCATGGGCACCACTCCTCCCGAACTCGTCGAAACCTACCACAACTACCCGTCTGCCAACGCCATTTGGCTCTACCTCGAGGATCGCTTCCTGAACAAAGCTGCAGTGGGAGTTGCTATACTCATCCCCAGCATGTTCCAAGTGCGGCTCGAGGACTCGCCAGGCATGGCGGACTATGTCACCAAGGTGCAGTCCATTCATGGTGAACTCAAACAGTTGGGGATAGTCTTCCTCGAGCAAGCCCCTGCAGCTGCTCTCCTAGTCGGCCGCACTCCGGCATACGAAGTCACACGCAAGATGCTCTTGGGCCTTGCTCCTGCAGACCTCACATTTGCCAAGGTCTCATCCGCGCTCCTTTCTGCCGAAAAGGACAACAGCGCTCAAGCCAAGGCCAATGCAATCCGCGCTCCCGTGCCTCAAGCCTATGCCGCTTCGGCGCCATTCCAGTGCAACCGCTTCCCCCCGTGTCCCTATGTCATCAAGCGCGGCCCTCCTGCGTGAATGGGACCGCCTCGAAGCCGCCAAACTGGATGGTCAATCGTGCTCCTCGCAAGGTCAATCAAGTCGAAGCGCAGGAATCCGTGTAGGCTGCTGTAGCTCCCACTGCTGATGTGCGCCTCAACATGTTGTTCCCTGGCACTGCCATGATTAATGAGACAATTTCGCAGTGTCCCGACTCACAAAGCACCTCAGCTACAATAGAGTTCACCCTCGACAGTGGGGCCACTCACACGGTTCTCAAGGAAGAACACTCCTTCAAGCCATACGAGACACCAATCCGTCTACTAGGAGCAGACTCCAGTTTCACAACACACGCCAAGGGCTCCTCCACAGTTCCGTGCCCAGATTTTCCTTCGGGCAGTGTGACCGGCATGTGTGTTCCCACACTACGCCACAATCTCGTGGCCCAACACGAGCTCCAACGGGCAGGCGTCACCACGATCTTCCCAGCACACTCGGATCACTGTGACCTCTTCGACCCTAAGTCCAACAAGCTCCTAGCACGCTTCACACTCAACAGTAGCAAGCTCTACACGCTGCGTTCACCTGCACCTCTCGCCGCCCTCTCCCAAGCGCAAGGTGCCAGCACCACTCCGTGTTCGTGTCGCAGCTTCGCCAACCCAACCATCCTCTACCACCATCGCTTGGGTCACCCCAACTTCCGTACACTTGCCGACATCGCTTCCAAGAAACTTCTTCTTGGCCTCCCGTACACCCGCCTGCCTGGACTGCACCAAGAGCAAGCTCAGGCAGCAGCCGCACCCTTCCTCCCCATCCGTCGCAGCTGCTCCTGTTATAATCACAATAGGCTTAGATGTGCCTATAATGAGAGATAGAGAGCACAGTCGGATTTCTGTCAGACGGCTTCAAATACTGATAACGATCTGGTCACTGAATCAAACGGTGATGTGTAAATTGGATCTGGAGCGTGTTGCTGTCGTCTATCAGCAGCAAGTTGAATCATGAAATTCCATGAAGATTTGACGACGCTATGGCGGTTTGACTGGCAGGAGGTATAGCAGCCACAATAGTCTTAGGAGTACAAACTTAGCAAGAAGAGTTCGAGAGGGAGATGGTTCCCAGCCTCTACATACCCCAAGAGCCGAGGTCCAGGTTGGTGGTACACCACCACAGGGTCCCCAACCATGAAGAGTCTCGAAACCAACCCTCCAAGGGGCTACACCAAGTGAAATGTAACACTACACGAAGTAACGTTACTATTTTCACTATTTAATATTTATCCGCGTCCCTTGGGCTTGAAATCTTGAGCTCTTGTTCCTGGATCTGCAAGATAAATTCTTCTTGAGTTGATGGGGGCTTGCTGCACACACCTGCGACACGATCGACACTTCACACTCGACAAAATAGAAAAAACACATGCGACACACAAACGACGACTTGACATGCGAGTTGTAAAAACTTGCTAATGTCTTGACCGACACAAACCACATTGTGATACACCATTCAAACACACACACAAGCACTGGATAGCAATGACATAGACTCACAATTCATTCCATGCCATGCATGCACACACACAAACAAGGACGACAAGCCGAGTGCAAGCCATAGGGTTGCACCAACAAACTCCCCCTCGGATTGTTGGCCTTAGAATCTGCTCCCCTTAGTTCAGAGCCATCCCAGCAAGCTTGCAACACTTCCAATGCTGCTGCTCAACCAGCCTCTTGGTCATCATATCAGCTGGCTGCGCCGTCGTCTTCACGTAGTGCAACTCCACTTCACCCGCGGTTACCATGCTCCTCACCCAATGCCACTTCACCTTCATGTGCTTGGTAAGGCCATGAAGAACGGGGTTCTTAGCCAATGCAATAGCACCCTGGCTATCACAGTAGAGTGGGGTAGGTCCTTGCTGCTCCTCCCCCAATTCAGCTAGCAAACGCCGCTGCCACACAACCTCTCTTATGGCACGGAAGAGTGCCATGTACTCGGACTCCACCGAGCTCAATGCTTGGTCCACTTGTTTCTTGCTCTCCCAAGCTGTTGGTCCTCCACCAACACAGCAGATGAAGCCTCCCACACTTGTCATGTCCTCTGGTTCTGATGCCCAAGATGCATCAGAGAAGGCGGTGAGAAAGAGCCTCCCGGGTTCGACTCCATCCGCACCCTTTTGACGCCTTTGTGCCGCCGCGGAGTATTGCAGTCCAACAGTTGCTGTTTGGCCAAGGTACTTGGCCACCCTCTCTCCAGCTGCTACCTGCTCTTCATTAGGGCATTGGACAACCCTAGCTAGCTGTCCGGTAGCAAAGGCTGCATCCGGCCTTGTGTGAACGGCCGCATACATGAGGCTGCCCACCAAGGAATGAAAACGGCGCCTCTCCTCTTCACCAACACTTTCCTCCGCTGGTCCTTTCACACACTTGAACCCTGAGGGAAGAGGAGTAGCCACATGACCTTCACTCTTCCCAAAGTTTGCAGCCAAGGCCTCCAAGTACTTCTTTTGATGCACTCGCATCCACCGCTTCTCCACATCTCGCTCAATGTGAAGCCCAAGGTAGTAGTTGACGTCACCAAGGGTCTTGCACTTGAACTTGTCTTGAAGCTTCAGCATCACCTCCTTCACAAGGTCAGAGGAGGGTGAGAATATGAGGATGTCATCCACATAAACCACCATGAAGCTCCTCTGCTCCCCCTCGCCAAGCATGAACAACGATTGATCGGCCGTTGAGGGAGTGAAGCCGATCGCCTCCAAAACTTCCCGCAGCTTGATGTACCATTGCCTAGGGGCTTGCTTGAGGCCATAGAGTGCTTTCTTCAGCTTCCACACTCTGCCACTCCCATCATTGTACCCCTCTGGCTGCTCCATGTAGGTTTCTTCCTCCAAAACGCCGTTGAGGAAGGCCGTTACGATATCCATTTGCTTCACCACCCATCCTTTGATGGCCGCCGCGGCGAAGAGGGTTCGAAGGGTTGTACCCTTCACCACAGGAGCATACACTTCATTGTAGTCCTTCTTCTCTTGCTGCTGATACCCCTTGGCTACAAGTCTGCTCTTGTAGCGCTCGATGTTGCCGTCGGCGTCGGTCTTGCGCTTGAAGAGCCACTTGGAAGAGATCGCCTTACGCCCCGGAGGTAGGTTCACCAAGTCAAGCGTGTCGTTCTCGATGATGCTCCCCATTTCTTCATCTGAGGCCTTCTTCCACTCCTTCCCATTGGGGCCCTCCCAAGCCTCCTTGGGATTTGTAGGCTCCCCCGGCATCTCCACCGGAGAGAAGAAGGCAAAGGCGCACTCCTCGCTTTCATCTTCCGCATCATCGCCTAGCATGAGAGCCGAACCGGTCAAGGTTGAGTTGGCTGGTCTTCCAAGCCGATCATAGCTCAACCTATTAGGGGGCTGAGTTCTCCTTCTCCCCCTTCCTTCCTCCTCTGCTGCAGGGACTTGAATGCTCTCATGGCATTGCGGTAAATCTGGTCGGTTCCCACGAGCACTTGTAGCACGAGGCGGAAGTGACGGTGCACGCTCATCACCTTGCTGCACCTCCTCCTCCTCTTCATCCCCATTCATTTGAGGAGATTGCCTCGTGACTGTGCTGCTGCTACTCAGCTCCAAGGGCAGCTCCACATGCTCCAAGCCGTTACTCTTCACCTCTCCAAGCCGCATACCAATCTTCGCTTGGTTCTCCGCCTTCCACTCCTTGTACGGTAAGTTCTCCATGAACTTGCAATCTCTGCTCACCAAGAACTTCTTGGTAAATGGGTCCCAAAGAAGCCATCCCTTGCTGTTTTGAGCCATGCCCAGGTGCACGGCCCATGTTGCCTTGGCATCAAGTTTGTTGTGCCGAAGTTTCTTAGGCACAAGTGCCATGCACATGCACCCGAACACCCGAAGCATATCCACCTTCGGCTTCCTTCCAATCCACTCCACATAGGGCACCCATTTGTCTTCTCCCACATGAGTCAAGGCTCTGTTCTTGGCCACACAAGCATGCCGCACCGCATCCGGCCAAAAGTAATTGGGAAGACCGGCTTCAATGAGAAGTCCCCGAGCCGTCTCCGTGAGTGTCCGATTCGCACGCTCGGCAATGCCGTTCATTGCAGGAGAGTAGGGCATGGTAAGAGAGTGCCTTATGCCCTGCTTCTTCAGCCAAGTTGAGAAGTTCTTGCTCAGGAACTCTCCCCCACGGTCAGTGCGAATCGCCTTCACAAGTCGGTCTTGTTGCCGCTCCACCATCGGCAACCAATCGGTCTTCACCGTTTCAGCCACGTCACTCTTCTTGGGCAGCACATATACCCAAGTCATGCGAGTGTAGACGTCCACAATGGTGAGGAAGTACTCAGCTCCAGCAGCTCCAAGCTTCAAGGGACCCACCACATCCATCACCACCTCATCAAGTGGTGCCTTCGCCGTTGTCTCCGAGCTATGGAACGGGTAGCGGGTGAACTTGGCTTGCATGCATGTTGGACAGCCAAGCACCTCATTGGGCTCCCCCTTGACACGTATCCCACTGACCATGTCTTGCTTGACTATCTGCTGCAAAATGGGCAATGCCACATGCCCCATTCGCCGATGCAAGGTCAGCCAATCACACTCTCCCGTAGCGGAGGTCGGGTTGGAGAAAGCGGCACTCGCAATTGTGCCCCACAAGCTCTCTCCTTTCTCCTTCGCCGCTGCTGTTTTGCTGATCTTATGATTCTCCTCCTCATTTCCACCACCTTTGGCTGCTGCACCACTCTCCTTGGATTCACATGCCTTGCTGGTCTCTCCAAGATTGCACTCGTTCGAGTCACTCTTGGTGTCACTTTGCTTTCCGTGATCACCGCCACCAACCGCTTCACTCTTGGTGCTGATGCTTGCTGCCACTTGCCTCTCCTTAGGCATGGGGACCACTGGGATTTGCCACATTTCATTGTAGATGTCCCTGTCCTCATGAAGGTCCCAAAGCTTCCGCTCACCAAGCCGCGCGGTATAAGTTTTGGATCCCTTGGAAGATGTGTCCATGCCGGCCTTTTGCAAATGCCGCACAGAAATCAGGTTGGCTGCAAGGTTGGGCACCAAAGCACGTTCTTGAGGCCCACCATCTTCCCATCAGCACCCTTGAACATGGCCTTGCCCATGCCTTTCACCTCTGCTCGCTGCCCCAAAGCCGATGTGACATGCTTGACCGGCGACGGTTCGAGTTCGGTGAGCAAGTCCGCACGAGGTGTCATGCTATAGGTGGCGCCGCTATCGATCACCCAAAAGTCCAGAGAGTGAAGGGTGACCTTTCCCACAGTAGCTGGCTCCTCAAAGCCTTCCACACCTCCTGCTGCAGCTGCCGCTTGCGTGGAGACAAAGAAGAATTGGCCTGGGTATCGATCTTCACTCGGGCCCGTCTCGTAGTCTCCACCTTTCATGCATGCCGCTTCGCTTCCACGACCACCACGGCCTCCACGACCTCTGCCTCTTCCTCCCCTTGCTCCTCTGCCCTCTTGGCCTTGAGAAGGGGTCCATCCATCAGGCAATCTGTAGCAATCTCTCCACATGTGGCCGGTCTTGTGGCAAAAGTGGCATTCGCCATCAAATCGACCGCGCCCACGCCCGTAGCCATTGTTGTTGTTGTTGCTGCCATATCCTCCATTACCACGGCCTCCATTGAAGTTGCTGCTGCCAAATCTTCCTCCTCGCCCTCTGCCCCTTCCACGGCCGTGCCCACGGCCCATGCTTGCAACTCCGGCACCATCGGTACCCGCCAATTCACGACGACGGAAATCTTCTTGTAAGATTTCCCGCTTCACATCTTCGAGCGAGAGCGGGGCAGATCTCGATTTAGGTTGATGATGAGCGAGGACCATGAGTCCGGAAGCAAGGCCAGCAGCTTGGTCTTCTTTTGAAGGGTCACTGTAGTTCAGGTCAGCTCCTTCAAGCCGTGTCAACAAGTCGAAGAATTTCTGCACTCCGTCCTCCACCGGTTCGCCTTCGTCAATTCGAAGGCCGCCATTTGCCGCTCCAAAACCACAGCCACCGCCGCTGTTGCAGGAGCGTGTACACCCTTGAGAGCAGCCCATGCCTTTGGTCCCTTTGCTGGTTCACGCTGAAAAGGCTTGATGTGACGGATTTGGCTGCTCCCCAACGCTTGCCCAAGTAGAAGATAGCCTTGTGCGCTCTTCCGCACCCACGGGCTCTTCTCCGGGTCGTTCTCGGGGCGCTTCTCCGTTCCTTCCATCACCTCCAGCAGATCATAGTGGTCAAAGATGTTCTCCATCTTGAAGGACCACTCAGCAAAGTTGTCACCGTTGAACTTGTCAAGGCCAAACACTCTAGGCTCATCCCTAGAGGGGCCAAGGCTAGGTTGCACGGGAGCCATGGGTGGATCTTGGTGTTGACCTTGTGCTTGGGCGTCTTCTCTGCCTCCAGCACCTCTGCCACCCCCTTCCTCAGGTCTAGGCATGGTCGAGACAGCTCCAAGGGGCTCTGATACCACTTGTTATAATCACAATAGGCTTAGATGTGCCTATAATGAGAGATAGAGAGCACAGTCGGATTTCCGTCAGACGGCTTCAAATACTGATAACGATCTGGTCACTGAATCAAACGGTGATGTGTAAATTGGATCTGGAGCGTGTTGCTGTCGTCTATCAGCAGCAAGTTGAATCATGAAATTCCATGAAGATTTGACGACGCTATGGCGGTTTGACTGGCAGGAGGTTAGCAGCCACAATAGTCTTAGGAGTACAAACTTAGCAAGAAGAGTTCGAGAGGGAGATGTTCCCAGCCTCTACATACCCCAAGAGCCGAGTCCAGTTGGTACACCACCACAGGTCCCCAACCATGAAGAGTCTCGAAACCAACCCTCCAAGGGGCTACACCAAGTGAAATGTAACACTACACGAAGTAACGTTACTATTTTCACTATTTAATATTTATCCGCGTCCCTTGGGCTTGAAATCTTGAGCTCTTGTTCCTGGATCTGCAAGATAAATTCTTCTTGAGTTGATGGGGGCTTGCTGCACACACCTGCGACACGATCGACACTTCACACTCGACAAAATAGAAAAAACACATGCGACACACAAACGACGACTTGACATGCGAGTTGTAAAAACTTGCTAATGTCTTGACCGACACAAACCACATTGTGATACACCATTCAAACACACACACAAGCACTGGATAGCAATGACATAGACTCACAATTCATTCCATGCCATGCATGCACACACACAAACAAGGACGACAAGCCGAGTGCAAGCCATAGGGTTGCACCAACAGCTCCGCTGGACCTAGTGCACATGGATGTCTGGGGGCCCAGCTCCAGTCGCATCCCGAGGCGGTCATCGGTACTTTCTTACACTAGTCGATGACCACTCGCGGTATGTTTCTGTGCACCTCCTGCATACCAAGGCGGAGGCACCTGATGTCATCATGGCGTGGGTGCGCCAGGCTCAAGTCACGTTCGGCACTCCTCTGAAGTGCCTCCATTCTGATGGCGGGGGAGAATTTCGCAATGGCAAACTCGATAACTTCTGTGCGGCCCAAGGGATTCGGCAAACCTTCACGCTCCCGAAAGCCCGCAGCAGAACGGCATTGCAGAGAGCCGCAACCACACCTTGGTTCAGATCGCTTGCTGCCTCCTCAGTCACGCCAACGCACCACGGTCACTCTGGGATGTGCCCTTCCATGCGGCACTCCTCTACAATCTTATCCGCTCCCCCCCCGACACCACACCTACCGCTCTCTGGCTTGGGTCACGCCTTCCGCCCGCTCTCTACGTGTCTGGGGGTGTACCGCGTATGTGTTGCTAAGCCCCACACGCGCAGGAAGCAAGGTGGCAAGCTTGGTCCCAAAACCCAGACCTGCATGTACCTGGGGCACAACTCCGACTCCCCAGACTACTTATTCCTCAACCCAATCACCAGACAGCTGATTCGCAGCCGTGATGTCGTCTTCGATGAGACATGCCCATTCCACTCTGCGACCACGTGCGAGCCTCCTCCACCTTCCCCGACGCTTGTTTGGGCAGACTTCGATGCCTCACCTCCGGCCGCTGCCCCTTCTCCGGGACCTTCTCCGTCCAGCGTGTCTCACCCGGCCTCCCAGTATCCTCCGCAGTGGCACCTCCTCCTGCTCCGCCTTCCCCGCGCGTCGAGCCCGGCTCACCAGTCTCCTATCGGAGGCGCCCAGTCCCTCCGGTCCCACCGCAGCCGCCTTCGTCTCCGGTCTCTAGTCGCACTCGTTCCAAGGGACCGGCTCCGCCTCTCGCCTGGGGACCAGCCGCCTTCTCCATCCGGTGTTCGGTCACCCCGCCTCCTCCTGCCGGGGGTGATGTCCCCTCCATCCGTATTCCCCCCCATGCACTTCTGGAGGACAAGCATGAGGAGCTGTTTGACCTTCACGCGGTCTGCCAATTTCTCTCTCACATCTTCCCGGACATTACTGACTGCCCTTCCCTCAACTTCACCGAGAACCCGACCATTCCGACTCCTCGCACAAAAGAGGAAGCTCTCTCGGGGCCTTATAAGAAGGAGTGGAAGGCAGCAATGGATGTGGAGAACGAGGCGTTCATTCGCAACAACAGCTTTGACGATGTTGTTCCCCCTTTCGGTGTCAACATCGTCGGCGGAAAATGGATCTTCCGAGTCAAACAACTCCCAGGCGAAGCTCCACTGTTCAAGGCACGATACGTGGCGAAGGGTTTCACCCAGAAGGAGTATCTCGACTTCTTCGAAACATTCTCGCCCACGGCCAAGCTCCCGACTGTGCGCGCTCTTCTTGATATAGCCGCTCGCGGCAACTTCGAGATCAAGTCCATGGACGCCTCCTCCGCCTTTCTCCAAGGCCAGCTCAAGGAGGATGTTCACATGGAACGCCCACCGGGGTTTCCTTGCACTTACCCTGCCAACACAGTGTGGAAGCTGAAGCGCCCAGTGTATGGCCTCAAGCAGGCTCCTCGTGAGTGGTACAACAAGGTGAAGGAAGTCCTCCTGGCACTTGACTTCCATCCCTCTGCCTCAGATTCCAGTCTCTTCGTTCGTCACTCCTCCGAGCCCTTCTACATCCTCGTCTACGTCGACGACTTCATTCTAGCCGCCAGAGATCCAGCCGACATGGCAGCTGTCCAGTCTGCTCTCAGCTCCGCCCTTCTCATGAAGGATCTTGGTGACCTCAAGAACTACCTGGGGATGGAGATCACTCGTGACCGCCAGGCTTGCACGATCACCCTCTCCCAGGAGTCCTACATCGACAACCTTCTCAAGCGGTTCAACATGGACTCCAGTAACTCTGTCTCCACTCCACTCCCACTACAGCATCAGCTCACGGCCCCTCCAGTTCCTTCTCCTGACGCCTGCAAGGACCCGTACCCTGAGCTAGTCGGTTCACTCATGTATGCCATGATGTGCACTCGACCAGACTTGGCTTACCCGGTTAGTGTCCTCTCTCGGTACGTCTCCCCCGGACGCTACACTGCCTCGCATTGGTCTGCAGCCAAGAGGGTCCTCCGCTATCTACAAGCCACCAAGTCTCACATCCTCACTCTTGGTGGTACCTCTCCAGTCAAGCTCGAGGGATACACAGACTCCTCATGGGCCGATGACCAGACTGACAGACGCTCCTCCCAAGGGTACTGCTTCACCCTTGGTAGCGGAGTCATCAGCTGGCGCTCCACTCGGTCCTCTGCAGTCTCCCTGTCGTCCTGTGAGGCCGAGCTCTACGCGGGCACAATGGCTGCTCAAGAGGCACGCTGGCTCTCCTTTCTCCTCGCTGAGTTAGGCTACCCCCAGCAGTCGCCCACCCTGTGGTGTGACAACCAGAGTGCCATTCACCTCACCAAGGATCCTGTGTTCCACTCTCGCACCAAGCACATCGAACTTCGTCATTTCTTCATCCGAGATCTTGTTCAGAGTGACCAGCTGACGGTACGGTACATCGCCTCAGATTGCAACCTCGCCGACCTCTTTACCAAGGCTCTCGGCAAGGCTGACCACCATCGCCTTCTCCGTTCCATGGGGCTATGTGCTCCTTGATCGGGTTTGCAGTCTATGGGGGTGTGTTAGAAATAGACTGCAAATACCACTTTTGTATTTGTACTTTTATATCCTAGTTTAGGTTATGAATGTTCTAGTGGGTTGGGGTGTACTCACAAATCCCAACCTCACCCAATTGTGATCCCCCAATCTCCAGTTACCCAATTGGAGATTCCGGAGATCCCAATGGGGATTCCCTCCAATTCCCCCTTCATCCATTCACTCTCACCTTGCCATGTACTTATAAAGCCTTGGGCTCCTTACCTAATCAATCATTTCAACTCTATTTCTTACAGAGTTTCTATCCAACTATGTTTTGCCTGTGTGTTCACGATGCTCGTCTTTGTAGCAGCTAACCATGTAACTCAGTCTAGTATAAAGATTATTCTTTTGGTAAGCCTGTCTCTAAGTCTCGCCAATCGTTTATTCGTCAGACTAGTTTCACGACAATGTCTAAGCTGATGTGCAGAGATTTGTAGCCAACCTCGAGGCATCCCTCGTAAGCCTCGTGTTGAAATTCTTGTTGTTTGGAATTGAATAAATGGTTGAACCTGATGCGCAGGAATTTATTGCCAAGGCCGCGCTACTTTCCCATACTAAGGATGGTTATTACTGTTGGTAATTTGGACATTGGGCTCACATCACTGTTGGTAATTACTGTTTGTTATTACTGTAGGTAATTTGGACATTGGGTTATTACTGTTATTGCTGTTGATGACTTCTTACTTCACATGCAGGAATAATAAGTCGGCGTCAAGAATTTACATTGTCGGCAACGTC